CGCGCTGATGAGATCCAAAAAGATCGAAATCGCGATCCGCGTCTGGCAGTTTCGACAGAATACAGACCACTTCGAATTATTTTATTCGATTATGGTAACGTGCCTACCACGTTGAGGTGAGCAACGTCGAGATTCGTTTCAGCAAGTAGATATCTATATATTTAAATGCATCTTGCTGAAGCATACGTAATTCTAAAATGTAGCATTGTACTACAGATGGCGTTTACAGCGCCATTTGTCGGATTTTCTATGTAAACCATATACACACCGTTAAAATTTAATTGTGACATCTCAAACAGTTTTAAAGAGAATGAATTTTCAAGTAAGAATTTTTGTCAAAGAACAATGCTTTACACAATAAGAATATGGAAAGGACGTTGGGGCAGTTTTCATTGGTGCAATTTCTACAATCTGGTTTATTTGTTTGAAAAAAACGAAACGAAAAATACCCATCATCGTGTTGAATTATAATTATAAACCATGCTAAATTTACGTATTTGACCGGAAACCCTGACAAGCGGTTTTTGTTAAGTGCTCGTTTGTGGAGCAGTTTATTTCGCTTATAAACTGTGCAACAATAAACAATTGTACGTATCAAGTACATTTTTGTGGGATTACTGCATCATCGTGGACAAAAGTAGCGATGATTCGGTTGCTTTTTCCCTAAATGACAAAATTTGACAACGTAATTTTGAATAGTAGTAAATATTTCATTTAATCTTAAGTTAGATGTAGTTTTTTAATTCGACCGTTTACGAAAAAATACATTTCTTTGCCATAGTTACGAAAAATACTTTCATCCAAAATAATGTCAAATCTCAATAATATTTACTGAATAAAATTTTTTTTAGAGAATCTGAGTTTCAATTATTTCTTAATGATATCTTGCGTGAGATAATTGTATTGTTATCTTTTTCTGGTAAAATCATTTTCCAGTTTCATTTTACGTTGTCAAATTTATACATTCATGCGCTGGTGTGAACAACTTTTCTGCATAAACGGTAGCACACAAACAAAGGCTCGGATTAATTGAACAAAAGTACAATTTAAAGAACAAGCAGTGCTAATTGCGTGCAGCCAATTAGTAGATAGAGAGAACTAATACATGTGAGGGTGCGAACAGAAGATGTTGGTTCAACAGCCGCGCAACTCTTCACCTTTTTTCCTCCTGCGATGTCCCGGAAGCGGCAATAACACACATTACAATAAGAAACTATGAAATGCACTGGTCTCGTTTTTCTTTAACGCAACAATCGATAAATTTTGTTACATTAAAGACAAAACGATGGGGTTTACACATGTAGCTGAGCTTTACCCCCACACTAACTGAGGCACTATCTAATTTTAGTAATCAACGTTTTTAAGAACAGAAATTGCGGTTACTTAAAGAGAAATATATATTTTATTAGTATTAAGTTGTTAACAATTTGAAATCTATTTCACTAAGGATATGATATCAATACTCCCAATCATCGTTTACCAAACAATTTATCAAATATGGACTGACATACCTATTCAATTATTATTAGGGCTTGACTTGATTGTCTCTAAACTTATGCTGCTTATATTCATATATGATTTTATTAAACTGTATTATTAATAATAACGACAATGAACTTGGTTTTATATTTGATCAATATATTGGTAGATGTTTCTAAATACATAATTAACATTATTCTTTCACCAAATTCCCCAACCATTAAATTTAATGTGTTGGTATAACTATATTTGAAATCCAGAAGCACTGCTGCATATAATTTTCCCAAAAACATTCATAGAAAATCTCTAAAACTAATATAGGTGTATGTTGAACAAAAACGAAATCTTCGAGCTTGTTTTGACTGCCTTATGTAATGCAATTAAAAGAAAATCTGTTTCAATATCTTGGAGATGGAAAAAGATGTATAATATTAAGATTTGAATGTATGATTATTGTCAGTGTTTTTTTTTTTTATTTTAATTGTGTGCTTTTGTAATATTTTTAAAAATTTCATGATCGGTCGAGTGGTAGGTGTGAAAGTCTTTTAAATTTATGAAACATACATCTTAAGTGCTTTTCTTTGTTTTGTATACCTAATTCAATTTTTAAATATCAATTTTTGAGTTCCAAAACCTATGTAATTTTACGATAATTGTTTTATTTTTATTTCTATTGTATGTATCATGTGTTAATACAATTATTTCAACTCTGAGCCATCTGAAATGGCGACTGATGTAATAAAACTTACAGAAGATTTATTAGCTTGAATGGTTACCATCCGCAGAAATAAGGAGAACGGCCCGAATTTTATTTAGTGACAATGTTAAGGGACAATAACCTTTATTGAGTTTATTTTTGAAGCTAAAATTCAACAAAAATTGTACTACCTGTGCCTATCTCCCATATTTCCATAAAACAAAGTAGTGGAATTCGTTTGAATACACCCGCCTGAAAGTTTTCAAACCATTTTGAACTTTGTAAGCACAGGTACATAACATGATATAGTGTCCGACCGAAAGTTCGGTTTCGGTCGAGTTTCGGTTTCGGCGGCAAACCTACCGAAATACGACCGAAACCGAAACTGCGTTCGGGAGTTCTCGCGCTCTGCTCGGTCATGTTCGGCGCGTTAAATTCCATCAAAGCGTAGTAGATTAGTAGACATAGACATAAAAAAGCATGAATAATCTTCAAAAGAAAAATGAGTCTAGTCTACTATACTTACTCAAATAAACATCTCACCTATTTTAAGTATTTTTAAGGCGTAATTAAAGTATTTCCTTAAATGAGGGGTTGTTATGTTGATTTTGATTTGATTATCAATAAGTGAAAATGTCAAAGACTGCAGAGCTATGTGATTTAAAGATAAAAAAATAAAACTGACTGATTATAATAACGTTTTCTTTATTTTTCTCTCAAAACATGATCCTTATAAGGAAGTTTCGGTTTCGGCCGAAACTGAGACCGTCGCCGAAATTCGGTTTCGGTTTCGGTCGTAAAAAACAGTTTCGGTCGGACACTAACATAATATAAAATGTTTCGTTTGAATGGTACCAGAAAGCTGTAACTAAACTTAGGCACGAGCAAAGGCGGTATATTGTTGGCAGTTTTATTGCACGAGCCGCCACTTTAGATGGCTTGGAGTATAGTTTCGGAGAATTAGTGTTTAAAATTGTATCATTATTCAAATATAATGGCAAAAGGGGGTAAAAAACAGCTTTGTGTCTCTAGAACTAGATGCGTCTACACAATGAGACCGACCCTAGAGACCGGTCACCATTCCAGGAACAATTGAAGCACACATTTAAGCCAAAAAAATATTGCGTCGCACAAAATAACCGCAGAACAGTCGCAATATTTCTTGGCTCTAACACAATCTCTAACTGCGTCTCACTATACGGAGCGATTGAATTTTTGACAAGAAATTTTGAAATGGATCGCTTCTTATTTTGCATTCCGAAAATTAATTGTAATGAGACAGACCACTGATGACGGTCGCCCGTAATAGTGGATCTAACTCGAAGGGAGCTTACGGTTTGTGTCAACGCTTGTCCCAGGAATTATAAACACGCTCTCGTAATCACGATAGGAATCTGACTCAACGGTCCTACAATACTTAATTTTAATAATCGTCGTAAGTCGAGTCCAGCGGGCCGGTTGGCCGTTTGTCGTGGCTACTTACTTTTTCAAAGGCACTTGGCTGTCTGTCGCGCCATTACGTGCGTCCGTTATCCTACAGGCGACCATGTTGTACGCTAAAACAAATGCTAAACGTAAGAAGAGAAAGGTGTCATTAAATTCCAATTATTTTCGACATTCAAATGCACCAACATATTGAAAATAATCAAAAGATCATGTCGTACCTACTGATTCCGGACCTGTACGTATACCAATCTAATCACTCAAAAATACGATATACTCTAATTATTCGGCTTAGTGAAAAGCACAAGGCAAGACCAAGACCAAGACTGTCCCAGTCTTGCTTATTCGGTTTGGAAAAAAAGACTTACCCTAATACAAAGTGTCCAAAAAGGGTAAGGGGTGTTTGTAAATTCAATAACTACAAGTCAGAAAAAAAGTCTTTTTTGTTAATTTTTAGACAAAGTTTCGGAAAATTAAGTGTCAAAGATGATGTTGTCCAAATGTTGACCCTCCTACTGCTGGCATTCCAACCGAAAACGGAAATTAGCTGCCACGCGTCTACACATCTCTCTGGAAACGGTGGTTATTTCGGTGTCGATATATTATGTTTGAATTGCAGTAGAGATCGTGGTTTGTTTTCATACACCTTCTCTTTAAGGTATCCCCATAAAAAATAATCAGGAGGTATGAGATCGGGGCTTCTAGGAGGCCAGTTGATGGTGCCTCGACGAGAGATCACTTTTTCCGGGAAAAGTTGATTGACAACCGCAAACGATTGGTCTGAGGTGTGGCAAATGACCCCATACTGTTGAAATCATGAAAACATGGCACAATACCGATCACTATTTACCGTAAGTGTTCGCCCTCGCCGGTCTTCAAAAAAAGAAGGCCCAATGATGTCTTCACCAGACATAGCAGCCCACGCTATAACTTTTGGACTATGTAGTGGTTCATGTTTATGTCTTGTCTATTCTTTGGCCAGTACAGTTCTGTTTGTTTACGTGACCATTTAAGTGAAACACTTCATTACTAAACAAAGTGTTTTCAAACGTTGGAAAGCATTGAAGCATTTCATTTGCAAAGTTCATTCGGAGAGGATAATCGGCAACGTTCAGTTTTCAGTTACTGTAAGATGTAAGTCTTGCTTCGAAATCTTCTGTAACAACGACTTTTTTAATGTCAACTTTTTGACTGCGTTTGAGAACTGATGATACGGATTTTCACACACTGACACTCTCGTTTCTTCAATCGTTTGTTGGGTTCGAATAGTGCGCGGGTGACCTGGATTTTGAATTTTTGCAGTCGAATTCGGTGTTCTCGAACATTCGAATCCATTTTCTGATGGTATCGTCCTTCGGTGCATTCCGTACATTGAATTTTGCCCGATATGATCGATCGTTGAGCTATGATCATCGGATCATCATTACGATAGTAGGCGCTTACGCAAAAAGTACGATGGGTACACTTCCATGGTCATTAAACCTCCAAAAAACTGTAAAACAACCTATCCCTAAGGCACCCCTCTGAATCGCGCCGTTACGAGAACAGGACCCTTTTTTCAAACAGTGGTAAAGTTTCTTTTTTTTACATTTGGTGTCAAAATCTTGTAAGGCAAACTGAAACTTTCAAATACTAAAAATGATTTGTTTCAAGAAAAGAATAAATATATTAAAGTTGTTTCAAATAGTTAACTATAACTCGTAATTCCATCGCAATTAACAATTTTTTGTTTAGTCTTGCGTATTTGATCTTGGACTTACATATTCGGTCTAGGTATTAGTCGTGGTCTTGTTCGTTCGGTCTAGGTTTTAATGGCATAGTCAGTCAGTATTTACATATAATTTTTGTTGAAACGATTTACTAAAGGCTACATGTAGAAATTGGTTAAGACTTTTGGATGGACTGTTTAGAAATAAGAAAATTCTTCTACAGTTTTTCGTTTAAACTAAATTTCCTTTATAGCTACATTTAATTAAAATGTTTCATCATTATAAGGTCATCAGTCCTAAGACTGGTTGGACACGTACCTCCACTCTTTCCTATCCTGAGCTAAACTTCGCATTTCCCTAAAACTAGAACAGCCCACATCCTTAACTATTTGCGAACAGTAATCTAATCTAGGTCTACCTCTACCCCTCCTAACTCCTGTTTCTGCCTCTAATATGTCTCTGACTAGACCTTCATGCCTGAGAAGGTGTCCTACCAACCTATCTCGCCTATTTTTTATTGACTTCCATAGAGTCCTCTGTTCTCCTATTCTTTCCAATACCTCTTCATTTCTAACCTTTTCTACCCACGATATCCTCATCATCCGCCTATAACACCACATTTCGAACGCTTCTAACCTTTTCTTTTCCGCCGCTCCCACTGTCCATGTTTCGCACCCGTACAACGCCGTGCTCCAAACATACACCTTTAACAACCTTTTTCGAATTTCTAAATTAACCGTTCGCGAGCATAGAAGTGACTTCTTTTTATTAAAGGCGACACGACCCTGCGCTATCCTCTGCTTTATATCCCTACTACTCCTTCCATCCTCACTTATCTGACTTCCTAGGTATCTAAAATCAGCCACTTCTTCTAATTTTTCGTCTCCTATCTTTATATTCGCTCTTTCCCTACTTTTTCTTCCCTTGCATATCAGTATTTTAGTTTTACTTTTATTTATTTTCATACAGTACTGATCTGTCAGTACCGCTTCCATTTTATTTAAAGCTATCTCTAGGTCCTCCTTGCTAGATGCTAATACTGCTATATCATCTGCAAATCTAAGCATACTAATCTTTTGCCCTTGCACATCTATCCCTACAGTTGTACTGTCTTTAATGATGTTGATGGCGTCTTCGATGTATAGATTAAAAAGTAGCGGTGACAGTGTGCATCCCTGCCTGACTCCCTTCCTAATATTTACTTCTCTACGTTGCATCCCCAGCTCTATAACTGCCTGTTGCTCTTTATACAAACTAAGTATCACTCTTCTATCTTTGTAATTCATCCCTACATTTTTAAGTACATTTAACATCTTGTCCCATTTAACATTGGCGAAGGCTTTCTCTAAATCTACGAATCCTATGTACGCAGTCTTCCCTTTTTCTATCGTTTTCTCTATTGCTACCCTTAATGCTAGAATGGCCTCCCGCGTTCCTCTATTTCTTCTAAACCCAAATTGATCTTCCCCTAATAGTTCTTCCGCCCTTTTTTAAAATGCTTATATTCCTTTATATATATATATATATATAGAAAGAAGAATGCTTGTTCAACATTAAAAGTAAATTATTTACTGTAGTTCCTAATATTAACACAAAATCTCAGTTATAAACCATTCTTCTTACTTGCTGTTACCCGTTACCGTTAAAAATAAAGTCACGCATTTATCAAGTATTTTAACCAAGAATAAAGAGGCGAGAAAGAGAGAGAGAGCAATGTGTAGATAACTGATGACACGAGCTTTTCAGTTGCCGTCATGGGTAGTAGGTAGCAAGAAAAATCGTTTGGTTTAACTGAGAGAAAAGCGAATTTACCTACTTACCTTTTTCTTGTTTCCGTCGTTTACGTTTATTGCATATTTTCACGGCGCATATGGATAAGATTATGGCTACGATAAAGAACAAAATGCCTCCCACGACTCCCGCTGTGATGGCTTTGTGCTTGACCCTTGCCGGTACAGGAAATTTCACATCCTCGCTACTCTCGAAACCATTTGGCGAATGGGCGAGAACTTTGAAATAGTATGTTCTTCCGCCTACCAGATTTTTAACTAAAATACAAAAAAAAATTTTAATATATTAAAATGCGTGTGGACAATCTGAAATAATACAGTTAACGAAAATTTAATATTGCTAGCAGCGACGAGGCGTGGCTAATTGGAACGTATACCCCGTATCACGTAAAGTGACGACTTAAGCAATAAAACTGTCAAGTAGGCCGCCCTTGTTGGAATTACAATATTTATGGCATTTCTCAAACGAAACACGTTTTGTATTCTGTTAACCACTTGTACCTATAAACAGTGTTCGGAACCGTACGATAATTATCGTACATATACGATAATTTCATGTCTACGTACGATGTACGATATCATATTATTATCGTACGCAGATTGTACGATAATTTTAATGCATTCAAAATTTATTTTATTCTTACCCTCTTAGACAATATCACGAAGACTTTTTTTTATTCGCGAATATTTTTTTTTCTTTTTGCTCACAGCGCTATAAACATTTTTGTAATACGCAGTGTTAAATTTAGAAGAACGTGCCTGCAACAAAAGAACGTTATCATGCTAGTATGTATGTTTTTCCTCGGCAGGTAACATCCCTTCGTGTTGGTCACCAGATGGGTCGATGGTCTTCCCATCCACAATTTTGTGATTGTAGTCATGTAGTCACTAACCATAGCCTAAGGTCAAAAACACCCCACTAACATACCTCCACCCCCTATATCTTGTTATATTTAAGTATTTTTCTATCTATTATTGATTTTTAATTTAAAGGGTGGGGGTAGTTCAGGTCTGCCTTTTTACACGATTAATACGAGTAATTTACTAATTATAGTGATTATTTTGAAAAGTACGATAATTTTGCTCCATGTACGATAATTCTACGCTTCAGGTACGATAGTTTCCTCGCTTCAGGTTGTGAACACTGCCTATAAAGATCAAAATTTCGAATCTCAGCTGCACCGAGCAGCTTGATCTAGAAGTTTAGACCATTGCTTAGTATTTTGGGAGGATGCTGGTTCGATTCCGGGCCCGTCTGCCTTGGTGCGAGTTTTTCTGTGGTTTTCTTGGATCACTTAGGCAAATGCTGGGGCAGTAATATTCCACAGATAATCTTTCATTCTCTTCTGTCTTCATTTCGTCCATTTCATCTTTCTCACCCGAATCACCACTCACCAATTACCACGATTCCTGAAAGGAGGCTGAAGAGGGCCTTTCGTCCTACCTTTCGGCGTAGTCCGGAGGGACAAAATTAGTGACTGATGGGAATGAAAGTTTTAGTGTTTTCCCTATTACCACTTCTCTTGTTTGGTGCAGATGTTGGTCATTCGACAAAGTAAGCTTATAAATCATTTCAAAGTTTTATTGCTTCAGTCGCCACCTTACGTGATACCGAGTTTAGATATCATCGAAATCTAGATAAGCAGAACTAAGCCTGGGAATCTTATATAAATTTTTTAATAAGTTTTTTGTCTGGACACGACTCCTTTGGCAGGGGAATCCCATAACTGCTAGTGTTGCCAAACTACTTTGGATAAATAATAATGATTCGTACAATTTTTTTGTGACCCCCCTGAGGCGCTAGGACGAGGATTATCGATGACGTCACCAACCCTCCAGCTACGCCTCTAATAATTGTTATCTATTACGTGGACTGGACGGTTTCCGATTTTTTTTTTAATTTATTTATTTACGAAGTGGACATTGTCGTTATGCCTTTTGTTCTGTTTGATAGTCAATTTTTGTATTGTCTTTTTGGCAGCAACATAATTATTGGAAGCGTACATACTTTATGAAGGGAGTCTTACTTGCCTTAATTCTCTCGAAATATATAATTAACATTAAATCGATGTCCATCGTCTTTAACTCTTCAGTAAAGGCTGATTTAAATGAAATACGTTAGTCTTAACCAAGACTACAGTTGTCTAAAGAGGATTGTAAAAACTAGTTTTTCCTAGTTCGCTCATTAATTGAATTCGGGTTTTTACCATAACCGAATGCAAGGGTTGTAATTATAGTAAAATGACACGCAATTAATAAACCTTCACAACACGAACGACTCCCAATTCTATATCGCCATAAAACTTAAATAGGGAAGAAATAATAACTATCAGGATCCGTCAAAATGCATACACCACCTAGTGGCACGAGTTGTAACTTCTATAAGGGACATTACATGGGAATAATGCGCGTAAATGGTAAAATTGTATATTAAAATCACAAAACATGTTAAATAAATGGAAGCATTTTTGAAAAAGGGGTCCGCAAACTCCCCATGAAGTTTTAGTCAGAGACATATTAGAGGCAGAAACGGGAGTTAGGAGGGGTAGAGGTAGGCCTAGGTTAGATTACTGTTCGCAAATAGTTAAGGATATGGGTTGTTCTAGTTTTAGGGAAATCCGAAGATTAGCTGAGGATAGGAAAGAGAGGAGAGTCTTAGGATTGACGACCTTATGGTGATGATGACGTTAAACTTACCTAAATATTGCGTATCCTCGGCCCTTATAGGGCCTTTGTTGAGCGATTTCCATTCTTTTTCCGTCCTGTATTTAATGTTGTAATATTGCACTAGTTTAGTTCCTTCTAGAGGCGGTTGCCAAGTTATCAAAAAGCCATTACTTATTTCTGTCACGGTCAGATTTCGAGGCGGACCGGGCTTAGGGCCTGCGAGTGAAAGATATTTCGCTTAAAACAAAACGTTGGATCAGACGATTGTCGTGGATTGCGAGTGTGGTCATGCAAGAAACGATAGAACAAAAACGAAAAAGAATACCTTTGCCTTTAATCGAGCCTGGCGAATCGGTCGGAAAAATTAAAACGCTACTATAGTCAAGCACTGCTGAAATGAAGCAAAACGTAAATAAAATATGTGCACTGAACTTTACAATACGAGGGTGGATTGATAAGTTTCCGGCCTGACCAAGAAAAACAAGGTTTTTAAAAATTTTTTTTTTTTATTTCTCAACATAATCTCCTCCAAGGCTGATACATTTCTCATAGCGGTGTTCCAGTCTATTAATGCCATCTCTATAGACTGATTCGTCAAGCTCCTCAAAATAACCATTTACAGCTTCGATTACTTCTTCATTGTCCGCAAATCTCTTACCGCCAAGCCATTTTTTGAGATTAGGGAACAGAAAATAGTCACTCGGGGCTAGGTCTGGAGAGTAAGGAGGGTGCGGCATCAATTCAAACTTTAGATCGTTGATTTTAGCCGTCGCAACGATTGACGTGTGCGCTGGTGCGTTATCGTGATGAAACAAGATTTTTTTCTTCGCCAGATGAGGTCGTTTAATTTTCACCTCGTGGCTCAAACGTTGCAATAAGTCTGCGTAGTATTGACCAGTGATAGTATTACCCTTTGCAAGGTAATCAATGTATATAATACCTCTTGCATCCCAAAAAACAGTAGCCATAACCTTGTTCGCCGAAAAAATTGTTTTTGCCTTCTTTGGAGTTGGTTCCCCTGGTCCAATCCACTGTTTAGACTGTTCTTTGGTTTCAGGAGTGTAGTGGTGGACCCACGTTTCGTCAACGGTTACGAATCGACGCAAAAATTCGCTTGGATTACGCTTATACAATGACAAATTTGCGGTAGAAATGTTTTTTCGAATCAATTTTTGGTCGACTGTTAGCAAACGCGGCACCCATCTTGCACAGAGCTTTTCCATATGCAAATGTTGGTGCAAAATATGTTGCACACGTTCATATGACATCTTACAGGTCTCAGCTATCTCACGCACTTTCAATCTGCGGTCTCCCAGCACTATTTGATGAATTTTTTCGATCATATCTGGAGTTGTGACCTCAACGGGGCGTCCTGAGCGAGGCCCATCAGAGGTGCTCACACGACCCTTTTTAAACTCGGAAACCCACTGCTTAACGGTTGAATATGACGGGGAGGATGTCCCCAGTGTTGAGTCCATCTCTTTTTTAATTTCCTTCGGCGTTAACCCCTTCAAATAAAAGTATTTGATGACAGCACGATTTTCCTGCTTTTCCATTTTTACGAAAACCACAGAGGCGTCTTGTTAAGCGTGCTGTCAAACCTACACTAGCAAGGAGATCGGGCTGAAACTATAGCTACAAGCTATCCAAGGATGGTACTATAGAATGTCACCTCAAGGTAGGCCTAGTGGCGTCATCTCTTGGTTAGGCCGGAAACTTATCAATCCACCCTCGTAGAACAAATAATGGCACGGAGGCAGATAGAAAACTGCTTTTACATGATGGTTGGCAGATTTTTTTCTCTTCTCACAGTGTACCTACATTAAATATCTACAGGGTGGACTCTTCAATCACAGGCAACACCGGAGATGAGTTCAGACAAAAGTTTTATAGTTCGAAAAGGCTTCCCCTATTTGTAATCGTATAACTGACTTTGCGGTTACGCCTTAGGGTCATTTAAAGGTCAACTTTCCTTTTTTTAACCGAAACTTTTATTTTTATCTTGGAAGGACCATTTAACGATCAAACACCCCTAAATAATTAACTTGCAAAATATGTCAAAAAAACGTAAAGAGCAACAGTTTTAGAGTTAAGTAATATATTTTAAAGTTATTCGTAGGTCATCTTTAAATTTTTTCAAATGACTATTTCTGTTTATTCAGAATCAAAAGGTTCAAAGAAAAAAATAAATTATGGTATTGAATCATTTGGCCCAATGGGCCATGAAAACGAAAAAATAAAGGTTTTAGCATACAATATCGTTTTTTGCTTTAATCTTAGACGGAAATTTAAAGTTAACCTGCGAATAACCTTAAAAATCGATGTCATGGTCATCATGGGAGGCCAACATTTAAACCTTTCAAGACTTACTATTCATGTACCTATTCTTGACATTTTTCACTGTCGGTGATATTAAACTGGTTAATTTTGTAAGGATTGCTTACTTATAAGATAAAGTGCAGGTCAGTTTGACTCCTCTATTAGCTATACATTCGAACGCAAAATTTCCCATTCTTCCGAATCCGTGGTTAAAAAATAAAAATATCCATTAGAATAGTTGACTTTTAAGTGATCTTAATTCTTAACCGTCAACTCATGAGTCCCCTAAATCCCATCCCACTCATCAGTGGCCCACGGTGATGTATGAAGGCGCGTTAGAATATTTTGAAAATCGATGTGTACAATTGTGGGTACACCTTGGAAAGGTCATTTGTTTATAGCATCACTACATGTATCATAGATGTATGACCCTTGATTATCTAGATGATCACGATTCCACCAATATTTTTAACCAAATTGTCAGATAGTTTTGACTAAAACAATTTACATACCACGTTTAAAATTGCCTCTCATCGCTATACATAAATAATGTAATGTGAGTATTTAAAACTTTATTCTGATTAAGGGTCTTTGAAAATATAGATTTTCATATAAATATTTTGAGAAAATTCTAAATTTGTTAAAATTAATCATTCGCGCCTCTATTGAGTGGATAACATGAAAACTTAGTTTTTCGGCGTTCCCTACAGATCATCTTAAGCGTTGGTATGTAATTTCCTTTAGCATCCACATAGCTTTAAAATTTGATAAAAGAAATATTAATGGGACTATGGTCATCTATATTTCTAGATGGTCAGAGGCTACACCTCTGTGATACATACAACGATACAGATAAATGACCTTTTTTCAAAATATTGCAACACATCTATAATAATAGTACATCACCACGGGTCATCGATCAAGTTTACTTTGTACTTTCGCCCAGATATAATTGTTGCAAACATATTAAATCCTAATTAATTTTAACAATTTTTAACTCATTTATTTTTAACTGCCTCCGTGCCCTATAAAAAGTTGCAAATAAAAAGTAAAAATGCATTTACACGGTTTGCAGATGCTTTTTGGTTTCGAAATCTGTAAAGAAATTCGGTTTAAAGACCCCATCTGTATAAGTACTTCGGTGTCTTGAGTTTCGTAATAATTGTGCCCCTGTTAATGCTGTCGTTAATTAGGACAGCCTGGCTGTTGCAGAGTGTCTTTTCTTAAGAATAACGTTCCCTTAACTCTTGTCGATTTAACTTCTTATACAGCTTCAAAGTTTTTCCTAATTGCGACCGAGGAATTTACAGGGTTTACATTCTAATACGCGAGCGTTTAGATTATGCATTCAATTTGAAAGTCGGCCCGCATTAAATAGCACCCGGTTTTTGTTAAACAAGGTAGGCAGATGGTTGAAACTTAATAAAAGATAAGACGAAATGCTTTAGCAATGTGGTATTTATGTCGCAGCAATTTCGGTTAGGCGGTTTTAAAATTAGTGCAGTACGGAATTCAGAATTGAAATTACGAATTATTTGAATTGAATGGAACATCAAAAATGTCGGCTAAGTTTGCAACACTAGATAATATGATAGAAGGGGTTGAAAACGTTTTACCTATTATTATTACACCCCTACAAGATTTTAAAAGCTGGATTAGAAAAGAAAAGAAGTAACGCATTCGGATTTTGCTAGCTCTGCTCGTTCCAACGATTTTACTCTTAACCTCAATACTCACTAAGGCTATCTCGCGATGTAGCATAAAAGGTTTCGTGTCAATATAAAAACTTATACCATCTAAAATTTAAAAAACTTCTGAAAAATCGCCTGAAGACCACTATAGGAAATGTATTTCGCCTTGAGTGGTAAAGATCGATTTGAGAAAGCGGTCACACTCCAACGAAGTTGGAAGAAAGTAAAATTACAATTTCTGGTCTAAATTAATTCCTAGAATCGTAATATAATTTTGAATAACTCTTAAAAATGAATGAAGATTAAACAGTAAAATCTGTGTTAGTTTAAACGAACTCTTGGATGAAATGGATTTAATTGTTCAGCGCATAGTTAATGTAGATTGTGACATAAACAAAATCGAAGAACATTTTCAAATAATAATTTCACATTTACATTCGATCATTAAATTAAAATTAATACGTTTAATCAGTTGTACGTACAATATAATTATTGTACATTTTGCGACTTGATTCTTTAGAAATAAGATACGTTTTGTTGTGTTCCTGGTAATTTGAATCGAAACAGGGACTGCTTCAAATACGGTAAAAATCTTAAAGCGAGAACTGAATAGAAGCTATAAGTGCATGCAAAGCCCTGACTTCATGACTGACAATGGGGTCATGAACACAAGATCGATACAATCGTTCAAAGCACGCAATTAGGTGCTCTATATGTCTACTAACGAGAATTGCGAGTGCAGTAAAAATTGACTAATTTGCATACAAAGAAATGAACTTCAAATATCGAGAAGTAAAATGGCATTTTTGCAATCAGTAGGTTGTCAACAATCTCTTGGATATGATTGTGTTTGGTAATTTAAAAAATACCACAAACGTTTTTTAGCTGCGAATGTTTGTGGTTGTTTTAGGAATTTTTTTTGGAATAATTTTTGTTAAACCTGATCAAATTTATAACTTTCTTTTGTGGAATATGTGTAAGTTGCGTATGTCCTATTTATGTACAAGGAAAGGGTCAATTGCATAAAGTTGGGATTTAAATAAGCAGTTTTGTAATTTACTAGATGTTTTTCTTTTAATGGAAGGACCTTCCACTTTAATCAGTGTTTGTGAAAGAAAGTATAATAATTTGGTCTTGTTTTTCGAGTACAAAGACGACAAAAATATTAGACTACAAGTTCGCATGGGTGTTGCGTTATCTTACCTCCCCGTTAAAGATTTATAAATATAGAAAATAAAGAGAAAAAAAGCTCAATAAAGAAAAGCCGCTGTTTGTTTATTATTTCGTCCATCAGTGGTTCGATAACCAAGTTGCTAATATGTGAAACTGTTAGAATAAGAAACGCTGGACAAATAATGCCTTAGAAAAATGGAACAATAATTTAAATTACATTCTGAGGCCTAACCTTATAAAATGCCAGTTAATCAGAAAAATAAGAGAAAAGGCAAAATAATATGATTTTCTTTGTTAATGTTAATTAAACATAGAAGACAAAGAAGAAGGAAGCGCTAAATGCAGTTAGATGAATAAATAAAAAGAATACTGAATCTGTATGCTGCAATCAAAGATTGAAAACAGTGCTTTGTACACAAATGGGGCGTTCGCAATTGGGACCATGATGTGTGTAACAGCGTTTTTAATGTAGCGCGGGTGTTGTGTAAAGAGAATTTCGACATTCTCCGTTTGCATCACTGTCTGTTGCTTTTTTGACTCATATAAATCATATGTTTCTTTCTGTTCGTACATCGGAAAAATCCTGAGAAAAAACGTCGGCATTAAACGAATTGAGGCTGTGTAAATTAAGAATCCTGAATTTCTCGGTATTGGTAATCCTTTGGTTTATAATCATTTCCATTTAAAAGAGTATGTCGTAATTTTGTGTAATTTTAAATTTAATGTTTACTGCACTTTCCAACATAAATTCAAAACAATAAATATCATGCTTCGTATTATTTTCCTCTCCTTACCGGACTCGCTAGGAGGTGGAATAGGAGGAGTAGTCGCAACTCCTTTAGCAGCCGGCAATCCAACATCTGTTGGTCCAATTTCAGCAGCATGTCGGACGTATTAATTAAATATAAAATAACCGCCTAAAATGTTTCATAACATTTTGTTATTACTCACCCAACGTTCTTATGGTAACAACATTGCTCATCATTCCCTCTCCTAGAGCGTTTTTTCCTATCACTTGAAATTCGTATGTCGTACCAGGAGCTAATCTGTTTATGGTTACTTGCGTGCTACCCGATGGGGTTACGGGTATGGTGGACCATTCGGTAACACCCGATTCCCGATACCAGATCGTATAGTCTTGTTTGTAGTCTGGACCGCCACTGTATCCTGGCAACCAAGAAAGAGTGACGGAGAACTCGGAGGCGGATGCCGAAATGTTATAAGGAGCATGGGGTTGGGTACCTTCCACAACTAATTGAGTTGCAGTGACAATAGTTGCNACACCCCAAAGTTTTTTTTTTGGTAGGTCAAGATATTTAACATTCGTATCGATAATTGTTTAACAGCTTTTTTAACGAAGTTTTTCAAAGTGGTGATGTGTATTGCACGCTAACGCTTGAGTGTTGACCTAAAGTACATAATTTAATCAATTGAATTTGGGGTTGCCGCTTGACCGCTCACTAATGAGGAATAAATGCCTGAGCTTGACCTCCAAACATCGTTGACTGAGCTTTGCCTTGTGAGTAGGTGCCGACTCTTACTTGAATGTCTGATGTCTGAATATAAAATTCGAGTAATTGAGTGGTTATTATCATGCATCTGCATTTCAAAGGCAGGCTTTCTGTTTTCCAGCAACCCTCGGTGCCTGCCAATAAAAAAGCTCAATCAGGAATGGGTGCAAGACAATATTTCAGCGTTCCTTTCCGCTAAGGAGTTGTTGAGAGGCAGCCCTGATCTCAATTTATTACATTATGCACTTTGGGCCAAATTGCAAGAGCGTTAGTGTGCAAAAAGTGGCACTTAATAATCGCCTCATTGAAAATTTCCAACAAGAAAACTATCGAACAATTATCGACAGATACGATTCATGAATTAATAGATGCATGACCTAAAAGACTTCACTTTAGTGTCGCTGCTGATGGTCAAACATTGAATCACGTTTATGTAGCTTCTTGTATCAGCTTTATACAAACTAAGTATAACTGTTCTATCTCTTTAACTGATTCCTAGACATTTAAGTAAATTTAAGTCTTGTCCCTTTTAACATTTTCAAAAGCGTTTTCTAAATCTACAAATTCTATGTAAGCACTCTGTCCTTTTTCTATCGTTTTCTCTAATGTTAACCGTAATACTAGAATGAGCTTCCACGTTCCTCTTCTTCTAAATCCAAATTGATCTTCCGCTAATAGTTCTTCCGCCCTTTTCTTCATCTTCCTCTGTACAATTCTAGTTAAGATTTTTGACGCAAGGGAAGTTAAGGTAGTTCTAAATGTCTCGCACCTATCCGCGCCTCTCGTTTTAGGTATGGTTACTACCACATTCCATTTATAAACCTCTGGAACTTTCCCCATCTCGTAAATGTGACTAACTAGCTTAGACGATCTCTAACCTCTTGTCCTGCATGTTTTTAAATTTCCGCCTGTATCTCCTCTATACCTGGTGCTTTAGTATTCTTTAAGTTTTAATGTAATACTGAACTAAGTTAAACACTAAAATCCAAAATTCCATATAACTATGATTTAGTATATGAAAAATGACAAAATTTTCAGCAGATGTTTCAGCCCGTATAATTGTCTTCTTGATTTTAATTTTGACAAAGTTTATTGTGATTAATTCTGAGTAATAAGGGATGATTTAAAGACGTTTGCAATACTGTTAAATGGTATAAGCCGTGGTAAACGTAGGACTCGCCCAAAACGTAAAGCTATTACAGGACAATTTGTATACGCCTGTTTTTTTGTAGATATTCAATTTTGTTCTTATTATCTACTTATTTATTTATTTAATGCTAGTATTACTAAATAATAAAAACAAAATTGAACCTGTACAAAAGTAGGTAAATTATCCCGTATTACATTACTTAATAGAGAACGAAATACATATACAATAGGTGTCTAGAATATTAATATGCAGCTACTGTAGGTGCAAAATTTTGCATTGAATGTGTAGTGCAAATTGTTTTAATTTTCTCTTATAAACACAGGATTTAGACACGATCTGTATATTTACAGTTGTTTGGAGAAATGCATACAAATACAGAGCGAAGACCGTTACGTTGCACATAATAAAGACCTCAGCCATATCCGGATACTGTTTTTGTACAATTATTTGAAGATACGCGCATATTTAGACACAATTACAGCTGCACTTTTTTATTTTGATAGAGTTATTTTTTCAATGTTTTTGATCGGGTAAGTTAGGTTATGGAATCCTAGCTTTTATGGTTCCTTACCTCAAAAGGAAAAAGGAGCGTATAACGTAAGTATGTAAATTGTGCTGCTATCAGTTAGAAAAATTGAGGTACTTTAGTAAGGTTTGTCGAACGCTTAAAATACTTCAGTAGTAGCAATTGTATACCCACTAGATGGCGATACACTGCCTGTATCTGGATATTATAGCAACTCGTTCTTTAGGAGTTTCTTCGAGCGTTTGGTAGGTTTATACCGAGCGGCATGGCCTAGAGATCTAGACCATTGCTTAGCATTCGGGAGGACGCTGGTTCGATAGTTCGGGTCCGTCTGCCTTGGTTCAAGTTTTTCTGTGGTTTCCTTGGATCACTTGGGCAAATGCTGAGGCAGTAATATTCCACAGATAATCTTTCACTCTCTTCTGTCTTCATTTCGTCCGTCTCATCTTTCTCACCCGAACCACCACCCACCCATTCCCACGATTCCTGAAAGCAGGCTGAAGAGGGCCTTCCGCCCTACCTTCCGGCATAGTCCGGAGGGACTGCTCGCCCACCAGCATTACTGGCTGGTGGGAATGAAACACCCAAAAGTTTTTTTTTTTTTTGGTAGGTTTAGTTCATTGCTTAGCATTCGGGAGGATGCCGGTTCGATTCCGGGTCTGTCTGCCTTGGTTCAAGTTTTTCTGTGGTTTCCTCGGATCACTTAGGCAAATGCTGGGGCAGTAATATTCACAGATAATCTTTCATACTCTTCTGTCTTCATTTCGTCCGTCTCAATTTTCTCACCCGAACCACCACCCGCCCATTCCCACGATTCCTGGAAGCAGGCTGAAAAGGGCCTTCCGCCCTACCTTCCGGCGTAGCCCGGAGGGACTGCCTGCCCACTAGCATTACTGGCTGGTGGGAATGAAACACCCAAAAGTTTTTTTTTTGGTAGGTCAAGATATTTAACATTCGTATCGATAATTGTTTAACAGCTTTTTTAACGAAGTTTTTCAAAGTGGTGATGTGTATTGCACGCTAACGCTTGAGTGTTGACCTAAAGTACATAATTTAATCAATTGAATTTGGGGTTGCCGCTTGACCGCTCACTAATGAGGAATAAATGCCTGAGCTTGACCTCCAAACATCGTTGACTGAGCTTTGCCTTGTGAGTAGGTGCCGACTCTTACTTGAATGTCTGATGTCTGAATATAAAATTCGAGTAATTGAGTGGTTATTATCATGCATCTGCATTTCAAAGGCAGGCTTTCTGTTTTCCAGCAACCCTCGGTGCCTGCCAATAAAAAAGCTCAATCAGGAATGGGTGCAAGACAATATTTCAGCGTTCCTTTCCGCTAAGGAGTTGTTGAGAGGCAGCCCTGATCTCAATTTATTACATTATGCACTTTGGGCCAAATTGCAAGAGCGTTAGTGTGCAAAAAGTGGCACTTAATAATCGCCTCATTGAAAATTTCCAACAAGAAAACTATCGAACAATTATCGACAGATACGATTCATGAATTAATAGATGCATGACCTAAAAGACTTCACTTTAGTGTCGCTGCTGATGGTCAAACATTGAATCACGTTTATGTAGCTTCTTGTATCAGCTTTATACAAACTAAGTATAACTGTTCTATCTCTTTAACTGATTCCTAGACATTTAAGTAAATTTAAGTCTTGTCCCTTTTAACATTTTCAAAAGCGTTTTCTAAATCTACAAATTCTATGTAAGCACTCTGTCCTTTTTCTATCGTTTTCTCTAATGTTAACCGTAATACTAGAATGAGCTTCCACGTTCCTCTTCTTCTAAATCCAAATTGATCTTCCGCTAATAGTTCTTCCGCCCTTTTCTTCATCTTCCTCTGTACAATTCTAGTTAAGATTTTTGACGCAAGGGAAGTTAAGGTAGTTCTAAATGTCTCGCACCTATCCGCGCCTCTCGTTTTAGGTATGGTTACTACCACATTCCATTTATAAACCTCTGGAACTTTCCCCATCTCGTAAATGTGACTAACTAGCTTAGACGATCTCTAACCTCTTGTCCTGCATGTTTTTAAATTTCCGCCTGTATCTCCTCTATACCTGGTGCTTTAGTATTCTTTAAGTTTTAATGTAATACTGAACTAAGTTAAACACTAAAATCCAAAATTCCATATAACTATGATTTAGTATATGAAAAATGACAAAATTTTCAGCAGATGTTTCAGCCCGTATAATTGTCTTCTTGATTTTAATTTTGACAAAGTTTATTGTGATTAATTCTGAGTAATAAGGGATGATTTAAAGACGTTTGCAATACTGTTAAATGGTATAAGCCGTGGTAAACGTAGGACTCGCCCAAAACGTAAAGCTATTACAGGACAATTTGTATACGCCTATTTTTTTGTAGATATTCAATTTTGTTCTTATTATCTACTTATTTATTTATTTAATGCTAGTATTACTAAATAATAAAAACAAAATTGAACCTGTACAAAAGTAGGTAAATTATCCCGTATTAAATGTGCTTATTACATTGGGCAAATTGGTAGAAAGCTAAAAATACGTTTAAAAGCACACAAAAAATCAACAATAAATAAAAAACATGCTACGGTTATAGCTTCACTTTGTATAATCATTGTAATCATTTTATCAATTCTAACTACATAAAATTTATACGTAATGAATGAAAAGGCAAACGTTTAAAGTTAGAATGCTTTGAAATCAAAAAATCAACAAAAACAGAGATACAAGATAGAATTTCATTACTATACCTATAATAAATGCTACACTTAGGTAGACAAAATTTTTAGTAATTAGTATTTACGGTTCTTTTTATATATGTAGTTACAAGACGCATCTATAAGCAGATAATAGATTTAGTCTGCTACTTTTGATAAAAGTGTAATTATATCCAAACAGTTGTAGAGTTGAAACAAAGTTCTGTCTTTGAAATATTGGAATGTGCTTTTACTAATTGTTTTAAAAAAAATGTGTATGCATTTCTGTTAAATCGAATAGATAACAAAGAAGTCGGGCTTAAAAAAGTTGTAGTAAAGTTACGTCCCTCTTTAATAATGTTCATCCCTAGCCAGAAAGCAAGCTCTAATTTATAAGTACGGAACTAAAAAGTTTACTGCAGCATTAAAACTGGTGAGGATTAAAATTTTTCTCAGCCGCCTTGCCGCTTGTAATCTTCTACTTCTATGGCAAGAGATTAGTCATAAAAATCCTTTGTATTCTGCGGTCGTTTGGATAACGTTGGGCAAAAAGACGTTAAACAAATTTTGCCTAAATCCTTTACAAATTACTCTGCCTGCGGAGGGCGTAATTTATACGAACGCGCCGTATGCCTGCGGTGAAGCTTTTCTTTTTTTCTTATTTTGTGCTTCTTTGTCTCTATGGCTATCTCGCTTGTCACAATTTCGTAATGCGCTTTAAAAAAACTGTATATGTACAAAACCGATCGAACGAAAATGCAGAAACATGAGCTCTCTAGGCACGTAGCACTGTAGAAGTTGGTGTGCTACACTATTAAAGGATTTACTGTTTTACAAAAAACAAATAGTAAATAACTAATTTTACCAGCCACACATGCAAAATTATTTGATTTGGCGAAACTCTTAAACATTAACAGAGAAGGAAAATAGAAGATAATCATTAAAACGAGAAAATAAGTTTCACCACTTTTTAAAATCGTAAAAATCATGCACTCTAAATGTTACAATTCCATCACTTTAAATGTATGTTAAGGTATCCAGTTATTCTTTGTTTACGAGGACTTTTATTGTAGTAACATGAAGAGGGACATACAATTTCCTACAAATTAATCGATTAATTGACTGATCCCCTAGTATTTAAATAAATACTAGCGTCCAGATGTGATATGATTTATCCTGATCCATCCTTAATAAAATGACTCTGGAAGTATTAGATGGTTTCGGAAGGTTTAATTTCAAACATTGCCCTTTTAAATTTTTATTGATTCTGTAAAAAATAGTTTATTTTTGAGGTAAATTTTTGTTGTAGTTTGAATGTTTTTTCACATTACCGTATATTTTTGTCATCAGTGAAAGATTAAGCATTTCATTTTAACGTGGTTAAGTTAGTTAGATTGATGCATACCTTCTTTTTTTTGTATATATACGAAACTCCAAATTATCTAACCCCGTTGTTTTTTATCTTTTAATAGTGAGGATTTGAAAACTCCTGTCATATTATCTAGAGTCTAGAATTTACAGGGTGTTTCTGAAATAAGTAGCAAGCTTGCAGAAGGTGATAGGGCAATATAAAACAAAAAATGAGTGAAATTTTGGTAGTCCAAATGTTCATTGTTCGAGAAAAACATATTTATAGTACGGCAAGAACTAGGTATAGTCAATCTAGAGCAGTTGTTCGTCCTTTTAATGTTGTAGGCCTGTATGTATGCAGTCAGTCGAAGTTACTGACAGTAGGTCAGTGTGTCAGTGTCATAAGTCAGTCTGAATAGCACATACGGGACGTACGCGCCCTATACATTGGCCTGCCCGAAGTCCACATGCTAGACGTATTTGCGCGATATAATTTTAGTTTATTGGTGGTTTGGAAATTTATTCTACAATTAATACAACTACAGTTACCTACTTTGAAGATGTAAATGTATATACTAATGTTTACGAAACGTTAATTTTTTCTTTCTTTTGTGTTCTTAACATCATATCATGATGTATTTTAAATAGTACTGCATACTATCAGCGATGAGCAAAGTAGTTGTTTAATTAATTTTTATCGCAATGGGCGTCTAAATATTATATTTATTAGCGTATGAGTAAACTGTCGATATTTACTTCGTTAGTCGCTCCACAGCCGTCACTGTTTACATTCTCCATCGTTGTAGCTGCTTAGTTATTATCGCAATTCCTCTCTATGTTCCCTATTCACGTCCAGGACCGGCTTCAGATTGTAATTTCTAGTTTTATTACAAATTTTGTTGTTTCTTAATCACTTCGCTTATTACGTTTAAGTAACACCCTCCAAAACTTGCTATTTAAATCAGAAACACCCTATATATACTAATTTTCTAGGTACTACTTGAGGCCCTTGACTTATCTTTTTTCTCTTAACTGTACTTCCTAAGGACTTCTTGCAGATACCAAACTTATCATTATTACTGAATTACTGAATAGTTTAATGTAATATATTAGTACTTACATTCCACATTCAGATAAGCTGAGGCAGATTGCGGTTCCCCGATTCCGTTGCTTACTTCGCACACGTACTGACCCGAATCATCCGCACTGACTGGGTTTATGACCAGAGAGCCGTCTCTTCGAATGGTCACGCGAGTTTCGAGGGAGGCGACCTCCCTCACGGGAGCTCCTTCCCGAAACCATTTCACTGTTACGTTGCCGGGTAAAGCTTTCGCCTCGCAGTTAAATTGCACCTTTTCACCTTCAAGCTTCGTCTGGTTGATCGGCGGTACCATTATCACAGCTCCACCTGAAAATTATACACACTTTCTTTTTCTACATACCAAAATATGATAGATAAATTATGTTAATTTTTAATACATTTTTATTGGTATTTATAAAAAGACCCCAACACATGCAAGTGTCCTTAAGGGAGATTTTTGATGAAGAGGTCTCTTGTTTCTTGGATTTATTCTGAGCTTTATCTGTATACTTGTGGCGAAAAGTTATAAAGGCTGACTATTTTAACGAATCAGATGGTATCGAATTCGAATTCGAAATTGCCAAATAATATCTTGATTTTTTTTTCTGAACGTTCTATATCATTTAACTCCAGACATGCTACCCTACTAAAATCCTGAAGGATGCGTTAAGAGCATTCAAAATCCGTAAAATACTGTAGTATATTTACTGGTAGGTATACTTCATTTACTTTCTGTAGCGATGTGCCCCTTCCAATGTCTTGGATGCGCGCTGGCAAAATCGTAGGTAGGGAGAAAAAAGCTCATTATACTCTCGACTCTTGTTCATTAAACATACTTTTTTATACAGTACCTGCCAAAAGTTTTGTTCAGTCATTAATAGTAGTGCGGGTCGAAAATAAGCGTTAAAGCCTTTAATATGTCTTCAAATATAAATAAACATCTCCTTGATATTTTTAGTAGTAAATGGTATCAATAACAGCACATTTGAGCAATGCAATTGTAGTGGATAAAATGGTCAATTTTTCCGTGCAGAACTGTACGGATTAGACGCTCCTCACCGGTTAAGAGTTTGGCCAAGAGTTGTCTGCTTTCTTTTCTGGTCTAGTGCTGTTCTTTTCTACTTTGAGCAGGTAAAACTGAAGGTCACTTCGCTACAAAAACTAAACGAAGTATAATAAGGAAGAAGGAATATCGAAACTATAATTGGGTATACTTTGGGTGTAAATGACGCAAGTGTCGTGGAATGTTGTTCTCATTATACAGGTTTTATTCACATGTTTTTCGGTAAAGTTTGCTTCTACGAAAACATTTCTACTCCTAATGGATTCCTCAACAAGACCTTGAATAAGTACTACCATTAGAAGAAACAGGATTCGAAAGTGATTGGTAGAAAGAATGAATATGTAAAAAACATAATGTAGAGGAGGTTTGGTTAGGTTAGGTTAGGTTTGAAGTCATAAAATACCTCACAAACGGTGAGCTAGGACATCCTGATTTGAGTTTCAACAATCATACACACTAGCAGAGAGGTTTGGAGTGGAAAACTACTTCAGAAGTGAAGATCTGAGAAGGCAAATAGATAAAAGGATGATCAACGGACTGTACCTTCTCGGGTGCATCCTGGGTTACGTTAAATGATCCGTAAGTGTGCCTAACACCAAACTAGAATGATGGCGTCCTCTAGGGAAAGGCACTCTGGACGTAAACTAGTCCACCATTTGAATGTCCGGGCGGGGACTACCTCGGGGGATGTCATAAATAAGGGAAAAGATGGAGACTTCTGGAGTGGAGACTTTAGAATAATACATACAGGATCGGTGGGGGTAGGAATTGTAATGCGTAGCAGGGTAGAGTGTACAAAGTTATTTAATAGGCGAGATAAGTAAAGGATAAGCGGAAAGGAAAATGTTAGAAGCGCTCGAAATGTGATGTTACCGGCGAATGATGAGGATACCGTGGATAGAGAAGGTTAAAAACGAAGAGGTATTAAAAAGAATAGGAGAATAGAGAACTCTATGTAACTCAATAAGAAATGGGTGAGATAGGTTGACACCTTCTCAGGCATGAAGCTCTAGTCAGAGACATATTAGAAGCTGAAACGGGAGTTAAGAGGAGTAGAGGTAGACCTAGATTAGATTACTGTTCGGAAATAGTTAAGGATGTGGGTTATTCTGGTTTCAGGGAAATGCGAAAATTAGCTAAGGAGGTGCGTGTCCAATCAGTTTGAGGACTGACGACCTTATGATGATGATGATGAACTGTCCCTACCTTCCCCACATTCCCCCTTCCCATTTACTCTACTGCCTTAACTTGAACCCTTAGATATTGTTCTGTGATTAAAATAATCTTATTAAATATTTTACCTGCAATAATAACCCGCGATGTGTGGGATATTTGGCCCTCGCCGTTTCGAGCAATACATGTGTAGTCTCCGATATCCTCGTGCCTTATATTAGATAAACGAAGTTCAGTCCCATCGTTAAATATACCTGCAATACGTACAAAAAAAAAGAAACGTGTCGTATAAAAAGCTTCTTCGCCAATTTAAAATTGCGTTTACCTATTGTGGGTGAGGGTTCTACGGGATTTGCGTCTTTGTACCATACAATTTCCGGTATTGGGTTACCTTCCGCTTGGCAGTTAAGGATGATGGCGTCTCCCAAATTGACGTAGATAATGTCGTCTGCGGTGACGACGAAACGAGGGGGTGCGTGTACTGACAGGTGGAACCATGTTCCATTTTTCGTTGGGTTGGGGGAGCGATTAAGGAACACAACCTTACATTCGTACCTGTAATGGGTTACTGATTGGTTCAACCTAGTAACTGATTGATAGTTTGGATTAAATGAATATTCGTGGGTTTCTGAAAAGTTTCATAGCATATTATGCGCTGCCTGGGAAATGTCGACTTGTCGCTTCTTCAGTCAGAGAAAACTTATTCCTACAGCGGGTGAAAATGTCAAAGTCAAATAGCTCGTTGGTTTCTAATCATACAGGGTTTGTCCGGAAAGTAATAGGACTGAGTCGATTTAAAAGAAATTATTGAGCCAATCGTTACAATTCTTTAAAAACTTTCTAAATAGGCTCCTTCTGCGTCGATGCAGAGCTGCCAGCGCGATTTTCAAGTATTGAAGGCGTCACGGAAGGCATTCTCCGGAATAGCCTTAAGAGCCGCGGTACATGCTGCTTGGACCCCCTCTGTCGTCTTAAAATGCTTACTTTTCATCGGCCTTTTCAGGCGAGCAAATAAAAAAAGTCCGGGGGGGGGGGCACATCTGGACTGTAGGGCGGCTGCGGAAGCGTTGGGGTGCCGGCCTTGGTCAGGTAGCTGTCCACAAGAAAGGCGGTGTGAGCCGGGGCGTTGTCGTGGTGCAACTTCCAGTCGGCTGCGATGTCTTGTCGGACCCGATTGACCCTTCGTTTGAGTCTCTTGAGCACTTCCACCTAAAACTTGGCGTGCCACTCGGAAGATTGCCTCTTTGTCTCGGGATCATACTCAAAGATCCATGACTCGTCACCTATGATTACGTTATTCAAAAATTGGGGGTCACTTTCACACATATTTAAATTTTCTTGGCACACTTCCATTCGCCGCAATTTCTGGTCGTCAGTGAGCACTTTTGGGACCAACTTAGCGCACACCTTGCGCATGTTTAAATGCTCCGTCACAATGTCATGAACCACAGATTTTGGTAAATTTAATATCTGGGCAATTAAACGAATACTTAGTCGACAGTCTGAGTTCAAAACTTCGCGCACACGAGTCACATTGTCGGTATTTGTCGAAGTCGAAGGTCTTCCAGCACGGTCTTCATCGGCGACCTCTTCCCGAATCTCGGAAAAGGCCTGGTGCACCGAAACACACCACTTCTTGCTAAAGCAACATCTGGGTAAGCCTGCTTCATCATATCAAACGTCTCTGTCGCTGATTTACCGAGTTTCACACAGAATTTAATCGCGTACCTCTGCTCTAACGAACGCTGCATTTTCGGCTTGCACCACTCACAGAAACACGTCGCGCGAAAAAGTCTGTTCTGACTCTCTAGGTGCTCGGAGACAACTCACCAACCGCTCGTTCGTAGCTAGGAATGCCCTCTACAGTCGGTGCGCACACGCTCCGAAGTGTAGTCGCGGCGGAAGAAAATCAGTCCTATTACTTTCCGGACAAACCCTGTATCTTGCATTAAATAATACTAATTTAAATCGATCGAAAAACAATTCTCTCTGATCTGTAATATTTACCTTCAATTAATTATTGATTACGCATCAAAGAGAGAATTGTTTTTAGACCCATTTGTTATCATTTGATGTGAAATTATGACTCACTGATGAATAACTAATGACGAAGCATTTAAAATTTAACGTTAGATGAGGATCTTTTATGTTTGAATTCCTTACCATCCTTGATCGGATTCTTGAATATTTGTCAAGTTAAGGGAAGCGGCTCCGTAGGGTGAATCGGGGGACACTTTCGACACACGACCTTGGTACCCATCGGCACTGTGTGTCGGGTAACTTTCGTACCATATGTAGATGGGTATCTCCTGTCCCTTGAAATAAGCGATGATGTAGAGAGTTTTCATAATTTGAGCAACTAACAAACTTATACTAACAACTACTGAACAATAGTAACATGCCCAATAAATAATAAGCTATGCAGCCCTATAGGGGAACCACGTTACTTTTTCAAGTCAATCATCTGTAGAAGATCTGCAAATAAATAACGGTTTGTCTTTGAACCGATTACAGAAAAGAATAAAGATGGCGTCTCTGTGTTTCAAAAGAACCTCAATTCCATGACTAGTTTTTCCTCCAGGGGGCGTCAGAGTTGACCAGCCTTTTTCTTGAATTTTAAACATGTGCCTACTTATGCTTGATTTTGACTAATTTAAAATAAGACTCGATTTTGACTAATTTGAGAATGCTAAATTGGAATAGGTATCACGTTTATTTTGGTATAATTTGAATATTTTCTACTAAAAAATCGATCAAGCATTTTAGAGAAATCAAAATCGGTCAAGTTTGATTTCCCTTTCGGCAAAACTAACCACAGAATCGAAAAACATCACCTTGAAGCATTACTCAGGGAACCCTCCCTTCAATTTATTTCTGCAACAATCTTACATGACCCATTTGGAAACATTAGACAGATTTTTATTATGTACCGATTGTGTCATTTCAATGAAGCGGCTATTTTCTCAAGCGAAACAACGTAAAATTTTGTAATTTTTGAAGTTATTCTTCTTTTGACACATTCACAGTAAAATTTGGGTATGAAACGGAAGTTGCGCGCGCACAGCTAACAAAAGTCGATTGTACGAAGTTAGCAATGAAACTGCCAGTTAAAGAGTGCGAAATCAAAGTTAGTCATCGTTGCGTTTGTTGATTGGCAGTTTAATCGATAATGCTGAAAATTCATTTAAATTTATAAAAGAATTCAGTAAAGTCACGTTGATTTATAATTAAATACATGACAACCATATTATTTTTTAAATATTCTGCCGGAACCGGTAGATGGGCATCACTTATTCTCATTGATTCTCATCAGCACCTTGTTCTGTGTGGTTGCCTACCCCTTACTTGGATAGTTACGGCGTGGATTCAATATTATATGTCGATATTGTTAGAATGTAACCTTATTGACATATCTACTTATATCCTAGCAAATGTCTATAGATGGCGTTCACTACACTATCTGCATCTATTCATAGTATTTCAATTGTATTGTATTCAAATCTTATGTCTTATTCTAAGGATTCCTAAACTTGACAGTGTTATTTATCTAAGATCTGAAATATTTTATTTTCAGATGATTTATCACGCTCTTGGTATTCGTTAGTCGTAAGGATTGGATGAATTCAACTGTTCACGAAGGGTAAGTGCTAAATGAATTTACATTTTTAGAAATTTTGCATAGTAATTTCCTAGAGGCTTTTAGGTAATTTACGGAATGGAATGTCTAATAATAACTTCCTAATTAAACTTTATCTATAAATATGAAAACATACAAATACAGTAAACAGTAATCTTGTATGTAGTATTTGTTGATATTGTGTAGAATCAAATATTAATACTCGATTTGTGGAATTAGTCACTTTAATTACAATTTAGCTTTATGTGTGAAAAACATAGATAATAATTTCCAGTCCAGTTAATCGGTCTATATTCACTTGTAACCCACTTTTACAAGTTGGTATAAGAGATAATAGCGCGCTTAGCATTGCTTTGCATCATTTACTGCGAAAGAAAATTCAGATTTTCCATCCTTGTCGCGAGTAGATTTTGCGTTGCATCTGGTTCTAAAGGATTATTCAAATCGGCCGCTTATCGTTGAGATCTCAATAATCTTGAGATATACAAGAAACTTTAAATTGGAACAAAGTTGTAAGTTTAATGCGCAATATCGTTGCATCAGGAAGAAGTTCCAGTAAAAGGATTTGCGAATTTTCTTTACATTCTCATTTCTATAAAATGTACATACAACATAATATCGAATAGTTTCGATCTTTACTTGTTGAAATTGTTTGATATAAAAAGAAAATAACAGGGAATGGAGACTTTCACTAAATCCTATTCCTACTCGTAAGTTTCCCAAACATCGACTTCTTCAGGTTAGGATATTTACTACTACATATGTACAAATTGTAAGAGTAATGACTTCCTTAAACAGATACAAGGTAACAAAAGCTGTTTAAAATTACAGACTAAGAGAGGCTGTTGTAAAGCCTGCTTTTCCAAAGAAAAACTTTCAAGAATTATGAATCACCTTGTATTTCTTGTCCTAAAGGATATTTATGACAAACAGGTAGAAGTGTTAAAAAACGAATACAAGAACATAAGAACACTTGTGTGTATATAAAAAACGGATTGCACTTATTCAAATTATTTAACACAATAAATAAGTTTGATATATTTCACGTAAACAGTAAATGCAATAAATTTAAATTTATTAGAACACCTAAAAGTAAATAAAAATATAAAACAAGAAATTTTTTTATACGATTAAATAAATCGCAATAATTCCTCCCTCTAATTTTGTAATATTGAACACCCTCTCGTACATGTGTATATCTATAAGTCTATAAAATTAAACACTCTTAGCCTATGTCTATATAAAAAAATTCATGACTCCAATAATATTTAGTAGTAAACAGAAGTCTAAAGAAGCCTATGTAATGATGTATAAAAAGTAACGAAATTCTCGATTGTGTAGTATTTTCTTTGATACATATAATATGCCAAGAGGATAGACAACTACTGTAGCAAGTGAGCGAAAAATCTATTTTTACAAAACTTTAAGAAACAAGAAATTTACAATTGGCCTGAATTTTCCCGATATTGCTAATATTATAAATGCAGTTTCAACCTAATATATGTATATCTATATATACATTAACATTAATAAATTTAAATAGATAAACAAGAAAAGGGTAATGATTACCTTCAATAATTTTCATAACGTACATACGTATAGGTAAAAACAGAATCTTGAATTTTCTTTTTGATATTTGTTATCCAAATACGTTACGTAGAAATTGACAAAATTGAAAATATCGCCTAAGCATTAGTAGGGGGAGAAAATTTTAATAATATTTGCATATTTTGATTTCTATATAAATTTAATTGAAACATGCTGCTTTTGATTACTTAAAGAAGACCTAATATCCGGTATTTGTTATTCATTTCAATTAAAACTTAAATGAAGAATGATTTTAGTAACTTATTTGCTTAAACTTGAAATGCAAAATTTTTGTAAAGTTGCCTTTTTTCAAACCTGAACAATATAATAAAAATTTTGTGTGACTTGCGTAAACTTTATTATAATTAAATTACATACTAATGACGTAAATAATAACGGTTGTAATCCCATTTTGTAATGCTATCCATCCCGCATCAATAAACTGTAGGTGCCGATAAATCGGGATTACAAAAACGGACTTCTGCGGGAATGATGGGTTTTTTCGCCATACTAATCCCTAATAAGGAACGGAATGGCTTTTCTTAAAACAAATGAAGTACAGTTGACATAAAACAAACAGAAACAAAAATCGATACACATGATCTATCACTTCGCTAAAGTGAATGGCGTCATATTGAGTCCGTGTTGACAAACCCTCTCAAAATACACAGATTATACGGAAAACAGCTAGATTAGGTTAACTTATTTTATATATGATCTTGAGATTTTAAGCTTTCATCTGTCTAGCTGTGTATTTGTTTGAATCTGATATGATGCTTCCAAATCGGTTAAACCGATTTCATTTTTTTTGTTCTATATTTGGTATTTGCATGTAAGTAATGCATGATGGAAATCGATTCAACTATTTCAAGGATCTGTAGTTCTCATCACAGTTTTTTATATAAGAATTTTGATCACCTTTCTGCAAAATATTTCCTTTTTAGTTTTGGTAAATTAATTTATTTTGTTATAAAGGTTTAATATTACAATGTTTCTTGGCTTACCTAACTTCAGAAGCAAAAATGTTTTCAAACTTACTCCCCGTGAGATTCTAAAAATATAGATATTTTGGGTAAATCTATTATTTCTCAAAATTCGAAGCCAATTTGCAAGCAAAAACACTTCATTATAGCACACAACTCCTATAGGATTCACTTTCATTGTATGAGAATATATGAGACGTATTCACGATAAATTTGCCAGTTAGTTATTTTATATGCAAATGGTTAATAACTAACTTACAATTTACCCTGAACAAACTTTTGATTTCGAGAAGGGGAATAAATGAAAATTGAAACAGATATAATTATAACAAGGAAAAGACCGCGTAGTGAACGTCTTCAGTAGAAATTTGCTACTTATTGTGGAATTCAAAATTCAATAATATTCAGACAGGCCTGTTTCTAAAAATGATATCGGATATTCTAAGCTGAACCCATAGCATAGCTATGTATAAAAATGTAGGTTTTCACGGTATCTATGATTTGGGTTGAAGACCGTGATTTAAACAAAGATATTAGCTATAATAGAATTATGATTCGGGTTGGAGGTCGTCATCTAATTGAAGATGTTAGTTATAGTAGAAATATAATTCTGGTTGAATGAAGATGTTAGCTATAATAGAATTATGCTTTGGGTTGAAGGTCCTGATCTACCTGAAGATGTCATCTATAGTAGAATTATAATTCGAGTTGAAGGCCGTGATGTAAATGAAGATGTTAGCCTCGGTTGTCTTCGAAATGTCTAAACTTAACAGTTACTTTCTGCCACAACATTTCAACTCCCAATTAATGGTAAATTATGCATTAATGGAAGAAAGTACTGCATCTCCTCCCAGGTGGGAAACTCCGAGAGGAGATGTCATATTCTCTACCCAAAACCTGTATCCAAATTTAATTTCTTATTCGAGAGGAAACGCTCCCAAAAGGATAGCAATTTCGAACGCTTTAACTTTCATCAGCACGCCGTGTTTCGACAGAACACCGGCTAGCTTACTTGCTTTGTTCAGCTGAAAATTTAATACTAATTATTGTAGTATTCAATAATGTTCAACAAGGTCCTTGTCGAGTAAAGATATCACTTGGTCGATGT